TCTCTCTCTCTCTCTCTCTCTCTCTCTCTCTCTCTCTCTCTCTCTCTCTCTCCTTCCCAACCCGCCCCCAAATTACCCCTAGACGTGCATTAAGTGACACTCAGGGCGCTATGCACCCCATCAGTGCCGGCTCCGGGGCCCAGGGGTGCCGCATTATCCCCGGCCACACCTGGTGCGCCGGCCCCGCGCCGCCCCGCACCACACGTCGGCGATCGGGTTGCCTACGCTCCAGGCTCGCGGCGGTCGCGGCACGACTCAGCCCTTTGGGAGGATCATCCGCGAAAAATACACGGCGCGGTCGTTCGCCGAAGTTACTAAACCTTGCCGAGTTCAGCCTTATACATTGCGAGCTCTCATAACGCCTGGTCGGTAGGCACACTTCTCGCCTGCAGTGCACGCGTGTAGTGCGGGAAGGCCTACCCCGAGTCTCGCAGGCGCCGAGCCGCGGTCATTTGCCTAACGAATCTGAGGAAAATCAGACGCGTAACTGTCTCACTAGGCGATCCCCCTTGGGGCAAGGAAGGCTTTCCCTACCGGCCAGGCTGGGGTCCGTGCCCGTGCCGTGGCAGCGGGGAGACTTCCCGAGCTGGCGGCAGCCGTGCGCGACTCCAAAATAATATGACGTAGGAACAAGCGGAAACGCTGCTGCGGGCTTACACTGTAATCTCTGTGGCGACACGTGTGACCAAAATTTGGCGACACATTTATTTTGGCGACTTCCTTTTTTTGTCGCCAAACTTTGGCGACACCCGAGATGTGACCATAATTATGGAAACAGACATGTCGCCATGACAGTTCCAATTTAGAGCATAAAATTTGTCACCCGCGGTGTCACTTAATTTGGTGACGTTTTCGTCGCCTTGGCGGCAACACATACGTCACCAAAAAAGGTGACACCGAGGGTGACAAATTTTATGTTCTCAATTGGACCTATCATGGCGACATATCTGTTTCCATAATTTTGGTCACATCTCGGATGTCGCCAAAGTTTGGCGACAAAAAAGGGAAGTCGCCAAAAGGGGAATGTCGCCAAGTATGGTCACAAATGTGTTGCCATTGAGTTTACAGTGTAGTGCTCGGCTCAGGCCGTGTCAGGCCTTCTCATGTTCGTGCCGCGCCCCGCCCGTGTCCACCCCCACCCCCTCTCTCTTTTGGCTCAACACAATTTTGCCATTTGTAGTTCTTTGCCCCTCCGCGCGCCAAGCTACTCTGCCCCGGCGGCGGCGAGCGGCGAGGTGGCGGCGGCGCGGCAGCTGTTGCCCCGCATTTCACACTTACTAACCAGCATAATCATATTAATACTGACAGTTCGCGAGGAAATTGAGAGAGAGGGGGGGGG